TAAAAGGGATATGAATCTCTAAAGTTTGGTGACAAATTCCTTATAGTTGGTAGCACAGGAGGAGTTAGTATCTTGGACAGCGGAGACTCCTTCTACGTCTTCGACATCTAAACCTTCAATATGTTCTCTAGTGGGCCAACCTAGAGTATCACTTGAAGTTTAGACATAAAAAAATGGCAAGTAAGAACCGCTGACAAGGCAGGTGTAGAAATACGAAAAAAAAATTCAAGTAGAATTTCGTAGCAAACTTGAGTTGAATGTGGACCAACCGCGGGCAGGAGGAAGCGGAACATCTAATGGGAACACTGCAAGGCGATTTTTTGATACTCCTAAAATTTCAGCAGAGATCACTGGAGTATAGGAAAATTTAATCTACAGCTTTTCTGTGATTTTTAAACAATTGCTTGTGGAGAAGAAATACGATTAGAAGCATACAATGCATACGCCATTTAAACGGCGAAAGTGTTTGTCGACGAATATGGATGGTTTAACATACCTATGGCGGTACATAAAGTTCTAATTCATGGGACAATTATTATTTCATCAACTTTGCTTCCTATTGGGCAGTTAACAGAAGACGCACAGATGTCTAGAAACAAAGATATACGAAAATATCGGCAATATCATACGCGGAGATCTTCCAGAATAAACAGCAATCAGTATCTTTTAAATAGGCTTCTTCTGTCATCTGATCTCTTAATAACTTCTTTAAGGAAGCTCTACAGAAAAAAAAAAATAAAAAAAATGCTACCAGAAGCTCATCAACTTCGAATCAGTTTCGAAAATGATTAAATTTAATAATTATTATGTATACATACATTTCTTTTAAGCCGGCTGGTTATTTTTTTGTTTTGATTGTCTCTTAATTCTTATTATATTAATAATTATTATTAAACACTAACAATTTTTAAATATGAAAATTTTTATCTTGTATTTTAAATACTTATTAAGCTCAAAGAAGGTGCACAGATTAGAATTTAGTTTTTTGTTTTTTTTTTTTTGATCAGAGGTGGCAATGAGACAATTTTCGGTTTACCTTTGACATAGCGGATAGTTAAGTTTTCTTCACCAGCTGTTTTTCGTTGTTCAAGTTCTGGGCGAAGTTTAGCTTTATACTCGCGTTGCATAGGTGTTTCGTCATTCGCTATATTTATACCGGAGTTTTTTTTCTGAAATTAAAGTTTTATTTCTTAAGACAAAAAGGGCATTGCCATTGCCAGTCTTGACTGTGTCGATCTCTGATAGCCCAACGCAAGCATGGTGGATCACACCACCACAACCATCACATTTTGTAGTACAGGGGCCCGTTTTGGCTTTACCACAATGAACACACGGATTCATGATCATGAAATGCTTACCAAAGAAAATGGAATTGTATTGCAATAGGTATCAAGAATTAAAGTGCTAAAAATAATTACACTTGTAGCTGTCAGCTACTCAATACCTGTTTGTTGGGCTAGTTGGCGGGTATCCTTTCAAAATATAACTTAACACTCAGAATTGCAGTCGGTAAATAAACAGGTTAAGTTTAAAATACTGATTTCCATAAAAATCCGAACACCACGAAGGAGCTGAGCCATTTTGTTCGTATTATCGGATCCGATATGGAATTTGACCATTTTTACCTTTTGAAAACAACGTTTCGTTTAGCAGAATTTTGCTTTGCTAATTGATTTGCGTTAGTTGTGTACAAAATTTTAGGGCTATCGCGTAGAAAACAAAGTGCAAAATACCAAGACGTCGTGAGCCGGTTCATTTTAATCAATCGAGTGAGTTTGAAAAAGGCCGCATTGTCGGTATGAGAGAAGACAGTTTTTCAATAGTGTTTCAACGGTGTTGCAGTTTTGGAGGAGGTGGTTTGAGGTTGCAATGAATGAGCGAATTCGTAGATCTAGTCATCATCTACGGATTGCTGCCCTACGAGACAGATGTTCTACCACTCATAGAATTGCAACTGATTGGATGGGTGCGTTGGAGCATAGGATCGCCGAATAAGGTCGTTTGGGTTGCGTTCATATCGACCATTTCTTTGCCTCCCATTGACACCAAGACATCGTGCTCGTAGGGTGAAATAGTGCAACGAGTGAGCAAATTGGGACCACGAATGGAATCGGGTAGTGTTCTCAGATGAATCCCGGTTTTGTCTTTGGGCTCACGATGGACGTAGGAGGGTGAGGTCATTACGTAGAGAACGCCGAAATTTTAATTTCGCCGTTGAACGCCATACAGCCCTCACACAAGGCGTGAAGGTTTGGGGAGCAATAACGCAGGGTAGCAAATCCCCTCTAGTTTTCATTCAGGGAGATTTGAATGCAAGAGGATACATCTATACAGTACTGAAGCCGATTGCAGTTCCTTACCTCAGAGGTTTAGATCGACCCCTATTTCAACAAGACAATGCACGCCCACAGACGGCAAGAGTCACAACGGAGTAGCTTCAATAACATAATGTTGAAGTTATTCCCTGGCCTGCTCGTTCACCAGATTTGTCACCAATCGAACATATGTGGGATATCATGGGCACACGTCTAGGTAACTTGCAGCATCCCCCGAATAATTTAAATGACCTTCATGTGCGGGTTCAGAAAGCTTGGCACGAGATCCCACAGGACACCATAAACCATCTTCTTTCAAGCATGCCTCGCCGAATAAATGAGTGCATTAGAAATCACGGTGGACCGACACATTATTGAATAAATTTTTTATTTTACAAGTTTTAGGCCTGCCATTTTAATCATTTATTTGGTTCGATTTATTGCACATTTGGTAAAATTTTTAGTTTTATCAGTCAAGGTGTTCGCATTTTTATGGAAATCAGTATATATCAAGTCATTGGAGAAACTGCAATTCATGTTGTGATTCAATTTTCCTTTTTGGAACGGAAAACTGTGAAAAAAATCCATGAAAAGATTTCCTTTACACTGAACGATTCATGTCCTTCGCAAGAACAACATTCGAAGAAGTACCACGTTCTAGAGGTCCAAAAACTACCGTCATACCTCATACCAGAAATCATTAACAAAGTCCATGATATGGTTTTGGCTAAGAGACTACAGGCATCTCAACTGAAAAAGTTAATTTTATTTTATATTACGAATTGGTGTGCGAATATCAGCAGACAATTTAGAAATTTATAAAGAAATTCCATAGATATCGTGCGCCATTTCTTAATCATGGACGAAACTTGGATTCACCACTACACTCCGGAAACAAAACAACAATCAAGCAGTAGACTACACGAGGTAAAACAATGAAGATCTTACCGTCCGTCGGAAAGGTCATAGTGTCAGTTCCTTGAGATGCTAAGGTGATTTTTATGAAAAAAACAAACCATTACTGGGGAGTCGGTCAAAAACTGGTAGATTTAAGGTATGAAATTCGTTCCTATCCTCCCTAAGCGCCCTATCTAGCACCTTCAGATTACTATCGCTTCCCAAAACTAAAAAATTCTTAGCGAGACAAAAATTTCCATCCAATGGGGTGCGCAAAAGACTATTGCGAGGAAATGGAGAAAAACACTTCAAAGAGAGAATCAAGAAGCTTCAGAAACGTTGGGGTAACTATACTATGGATTAAAGAGTCTGATACATAATGTGAATCAAAGGCGGGCTGGGAATGTTCAAAGGGTTTAAATCTTTGAACACGAATTTCGGGTCATGTTCCTTCAGCAACTTTCGATGGTCATAGCGTAATCTGATTTTGCTAACATCCGACCAAAATATGTATATGTATATATGAATGGAAACAAAGAAATTCAACCGCGACGCGAAAACAAAAAACTAATGAGCAAGAGAAAAAAAGACGAAAATAATAGTTCACCGGAAGAACAAAGAAAATATCAAAGAATTAAAAATAACGCAGAATCACTAACAAAGAATAAAGAATCGTAGCAACAAAAAGAATTCGTAGACGCCATAGAGGAAGCTGATGAAGAAAATGGTCTCAAAGCTAAGGAAAGACATAAAGGAAGACATGATGGAGTTTAAAAACGAGATAAAAGCAAGATTGAACAAAGCGAAAGAGAACCACAGCAGATAAAGACAAACTGGGAAAGAGAAAAGAAACAAATCACAGAGGCCCTGATAAAGAAAGAAAACAAAATGGAAAAGAAAATAAAGGAAAAAATTCGCAACAATCTAGTGATTACCGGAGTAGAAACGACCAAGCAAAGCGAAGAAGAGATGACAAAAACAATGGAAAGTATCTTGGAAAAGGAGCTAGAGATAAAAGCCAAGATTAAAAAGGCATACGCAATTGGTCCGAAGAAATGCATAATAGAAATTGTTTACTTCAATGATAAAATAACGATACTGAAAAAAAGATTAAAGGACAAGAAGTTATATATTGATTCAGAAATGACAGAAAAAGAAAGGAAAATACAAAAAAAACTAAGAGAAATTGCGAGAGACGAAAGGAAGAATAAAGGATCAATGGTCAAAATAGGTTCCCAAAAAATCACAGTTAACAACGTCATTATGAAATGGAATATAAATGACTGAGAACTTGTTACAGAGAACCCCACAAAAGTGAACACAGAGACCAACGACCATGAATATAACGATCCAAAAAACAAACAGGCGCAAAAGGGAAAAATGGAAAAACGGCAACGACCATGGCAATGAAAAAGAACAATGAGAAAGGAAGATATGACCGAAACAGGAAACAAGAAAAGAAACCAAAAAGACAAAGAATAAAAAAACAGAGAATGCGAATCGCATCGTGGAATGTAAGAACATTACGAAGTCGGCGAAGACAGAGGAGAACATGCAATATGGTATGGAGGACCAGAGAAGCAAGGAAACGATGGAACAGCATTCCTAGTACGAGCGAGAACAAAAAAGCAAGTAATGGAATTCAAAGCATATGACAGTCGAATAACTTACATAAGAAATAATTAAACCAAAACGAATCTCACTAATAAATGTATACGCCCCAACGGAAACAACAGAAGAAAAGATCAAGCAGGCATTTATGAGAAACTAACAGAGATATGCGAGAAAATGCCGAAACAAGACATACTAATGCCGGTAGGAGACTTTAATGCGCAGGTAGAAAGAGAACTATGTTACCAAGAAGTAGCTGGACCACACACCCTACATGACGTGACTAATCAGAATGGAGAAATGTTATGTGACTTAGCTACCGCAATGAACATGACGACAATGAGCACAAAATTTAAACATAAAACAATTCATAAGATCACATGGATGCTGCCAGGGAAGACTACTGGAAATCAAATAGATCACGTACTTATAAGAAAAGAAAATAGCAATGTAATCAACGACACGAGATCATACAGAAGAGCAAACATATACTCAGACCACATACCTATTAGTAATAGTGAAATGTAAGATTAAAGTAGCGACAAACCAAACGATGGAGTCAAAGAAGAAAAAGTTTAATATTCAAAAACTAGAAAAAGATGAGACCCAAAAGAGTACCCGACAGTATAGAAGAGAAATGGAAAGTTCTAAAAGACTGCATCACAGAATCCGCAAACAAAACAGTGGGATATAAAGCAAACAAAAAAAAAACATGGTTCGATGAAGAGTGCAAGCTAAGCATTGAAAGAAAAAAATTAGCTAGAATAAAATGGTTAAAATCAACAATAGATAGCGACTTGGAAAATTACAGAATAAAAAGAAAAGAATCGAACAAACTGTGTAAAAGTAAGAAGACAGAATGGATAGAAAAGAGGATGAACGAAATGGAAAAAGAAAACAAGAGAAATAACCAGACCCCACTGTACAGATTCCTAAGGAAGAAAAGAAAACTCCCAACGGTAAATATCGAAGACGAAAAATGGAGAAAGCACTATGAAAAACTGTATGAAGACAAAGAAAAGAAAAGTAATGACGAAGAAACAAGAATAAACGAAAAGCTTGAAAGAACAGAAGAGGAACAACAGCCGGTCGAGCTGCAGTGGACACGTTATTTACGACCCAAAAACCTTTTCTATTGTAAACAACTTAACTTCGACACAATGGGATGATTTTATAATGGCCATATAACCTTATAGCTTTTGGTCTACTATACGTTAAACAATAATCGCATACCCAGATGACATAGTGATTAATACCAAAAGGAAACAATATTTAGAGAACACATTTCAAATCATAGAACAAGAATCCAAAGAAAGAGGGCTGACGATCAACGAATCCAAAACAAAGTACATGCACTGCGATAAGAAAGAAGATAAACAGCTGGGCAGTTTACAAATAGGACAGTACAGCTTTGAAGAAGTTGAAACATTCAAATATCTAGGAATCATAATAGACAGAAATAATGATAACGTACACATAAAGCAAAGAATGCAACAAGGATACAAAGCATTTTACAGCAATAAGAAAACGCTCCAAGATAAGAGACTTGGTAGGAATAGGAAAATAAAAATTTACAGAACAACAATAACACCAATAGTGACGTATGCAATAGAAACGGCAAATATAACGAAAGAAGAAGCTAAGGTCCAAGCATTCGAGAGAAAAGTAATAAGAACGATACTAAACCTAAAAGTAACAGAAGATGGAGAAATAAGAATACTGATGAATTACGAAATCGACCAAATACTGAAACAAGAAAACATAGTCAGATCTTGCAAAGCACAGAGGATAAGATGCTACGATCATATTTTCAGAAAAACAAAAGACGATCCAATAAGAATTTTAACGGAATGGAAACCGACAGAAGCTAGACCAAGGAACAGATGGAGAGAACAAGTGGAGAATGATACAAAAGAAATGAATGTTGGCAACAGAAACAAAACATCAATAACAGAAAAGAATGGAGGAAGATTGTACAACAAGCGAAAACTCACCAGCGGCTATGAAGACAAAATGAACGGAGAATATGAATTGATCCACCAGTAAAAAAGATTGCAAGAGTCCACAAGGATAGTTACTTAAAATGTATAACTAGTTAATAAAAAAATATATATGAATGGAATTTATTAGTAAACCGATGAACGGTATAGGATCTGACGAATCTCGGCTAACGGGCTTGGAAATTGGAAATAAGGTACATCTTAGAGAAAATGACAGGTTGATTTGGTTTATTCAATCAGAATTCAAGAACAGTATAGCATACGGTTTAAAACTTACTTTGTTGGTAAAAATATAACAAAATTTCAATATAATCCCTTGCAAAATTACAGTCTCCAGTAAGAATTTTCCTGATATCATTTCAGATTTTCATCTATAAGAACTTTACGTTTTTCACTCACATTTACCACATATGAATATTTTTTTATGTTTCGTCGGTAACTGCAATTATCCTACAACGAGTTAACGACAGGACGGTTTTAAAAGGTGGGGTTAGGACACCGGCGCTAAACCACCGCGAGCCCATTCACAGAAGGGTCGGAGGCGTTAAGCAAATATTCACAGACTTCCGATGTGGGGTCCCCGCGTAAAGCTATAAGGGTCGCGCCCCGCACTATATAATTAACCTTTTTATTACACAACCCTTCAGGAAGAAGAAATAATAATCCGACTTGTGTGTAATTGCTAATACGAGTAGGGAAAACGTTTACTAATTTAATGGAACGCATTAGAGACTTTACTGTTTTATTCTAATTTCTGAAACTGGTTCGTATAAGTGTTATTTTACACTTGACGATTATGATTACTTCGCCTTTAGCCACTTGCTTTGCATGGACGTTTAACCGGCTAACACTGTTTTTTATTGAGCCGTTAAATATGAAATTAAAGCTAACAAAACCCTTCTCCTAAAAAAATATGGGAGCGGCAGTCCTAATTTTAATTATTACTGTACGTAGTTAATTAAGGACGTGCGTAAGTATGGTTTTAAAGAAATTTTGTATGATGGTATACTACCAGGTGAAATATTAAATTGAATTACGACAATTGTCGTGGCAAGCGAGAAATATGTGTTAAGATTTTAGAAGAGCCCACTGTCTAACTGGTTAATTCAATGAGCCTTGTGTATCCTTCTTTTAACAAAAAGACGTTTTCGAGGTTTATCATTTCGGGACAAAGAGAATGATACTAGAGGCAAATCTTGTATGAAACTTTGTGGTTAATAACTCAATAATATGTCTTCTAGTGGTGGTAAGAGAGGAAAGATAATCACATCAGATAGTTTAGTGGTCTGAACACCCACCCCCAAAGCCGTATAGTACCTATACATATATTATATATATGTATATTTATATTTATTAAGTAACATTTTACTATATACATACTTAAATGAAAACTTCATGATGATGACGTTAAACCAAAAATGTATTCAAGTCAGCTTAAGAGAAAATACACGCTGAGACTTTTTCTCACATTTTCACACTCTTGCATTTAAAAACAAAAAATCGTAAATATTCTAAACCTCCGTCGAATTTTCTCTTCGGTATGCTAGGAATAAAGTGAAAGCCAATCTTACAACAAACATAAATTTTGGAAAAAAATCATTATTGGATTAGTATCAGCTTTTGTGTGGAAAGTTGACAGAGCCGCATCACTTTAATTGCCATTATAAAATTAAAATCGCCAAGTGTTTACGAACCTTCCATCATGGGAGATGGTAAAGTAATCACGTAATGAGGAGAATCAATCGTAACCTGACACCAATCAGTTAATAATCCCGATAATGCGTAAACACGATCCTGGCGCCCCCTAGTGGCCGTATCGGGTTTATTAGGTTAGGCCACCTTGTTGAGTTACCTGCACGCGTTAATGAATTGGACAATCTATTAATGGCCCGTACCAGCAAAGCCTTCCACTCCGTACATACTTCAGAGAACGTTTTAAATTTCACTTTTCAAAGGTATCCTCACCTTTACGATTTCTCTTATGTTATATTAATAAACAATATGCTGTGGTTGAAAAATTACAAGCGCATTTTGTATTACACATGTTTGTGACTATGAAAAAAATCATTTGGAATATTTCATAAAATTTCATGATCAGAAAACAAGAAAAACTTCAAGTTGTTCGCCATTTCAGTGTCACTAAAACTACCAAAGAAAAAAAAGTTTTACTGTCAATATGTCAAAAACTATGCGTCAATAAAAAATTTGTCGAAATCGAATGAAATATTGCTTCCGAAGTGACATAGGGTGTATTGGGGATGGGGTCAGTTGATATTTATGAACAGTCACTGAGGTATGTAATAATCTGAGGCCGGATTTAATTTGGCGGACTGATTTCACACTGCCTCTGCAGAACTGTAGTTAATCACTCTCCCGGTTGCTAACGCTGTTACGCCGCCTCCAGACCCAACGAAAGCCAGTGCAGTGCTAAAAATTAATTTTAAAAGACTGCGATTTAGTACATTTACATTTAATTATTAATTACTTTTGCAACGTAGTCTATAAATATTGTTTAATGATAAAAATCGCATCTTACCCACCATTAAAACAGATTTACAGTTATAAATAAAAGTGTCATCTATTTCTAAATGTCAGTCGTCGTGTCCACGACCGCATCATCACCCGAAAAGCGTTCCCATAATTAATAAAAAATCAAACAATACTGCTACTAATCAGTCAAATATGAAATTTTACGTAAACTTGAAATGTTAGATAAACCAAAAATAATGAAAAAATATGTGTAGTAGATATTAAAAAGTAATGTATTAAAAGAAGAACACATTAAATAAGCTTAATTGGTTGTTTTGGTTTAGTACATAATTTTGGCGCACGTCCAAATATTTCTGTGACTAAAATCAGGCTATACATACTCCGCCAATGGTTTGAGCCTTATATCTGCTCCAGTGGGAGTTCGCATACCTCCCTGGGATAACTAGCTTCATAAACAGCTCCTGATAAATGGGAATTCTAGCATGTACATTCTCTGCAAATTGCATCCCGCTATTGCATAAATTGAACCCGATAAACCATCCGAACGGCTGCCATCCTCAACTAAATACTAAATCAGCTTTAGTTACTCACTAATTATTACCTTCAACGTCATCCCTGATAATATCATTTTTATATTTTTGTTCCCTCTAGAGATTGTTTATTAACGCTGTTCTATCTGCTATAATGGCAAAAATATTTGTTTGTTTAGTTACAAAATAAAAATTAACGTTATTTATTGCAAGAAAATTACAAAATTTCGTTCGTAAATGAATACGGTAGGGTTACGACGATTATATAATTAATTTGTTTATTGGTTGTTTCACCAAAACAAATATTTTATTCCAATAATTATTTCCAAATGTTTATGCAAGTGTTCGATTGTTAAAATTATAATGAGCTGATAATTTTTAGTAGGTAAATTACACAAAATGTCAATAAAACAACTAACTGTAAGGTTGCTGTACTATACCACTAAATTATAAAAAAAAAATATGGTAACACTTTTAATAACACTAATAAAGAAAGAAGAGTTCAAGCAAGGAATTTTATTAAAGTTAAAATTTCCACAGTTTGACTTATTGTACTAAACTTTGAGATGAATAAATACATATATCGCTTTTGATTAATATTGTGTTAAATAATTTTTTGAAAAAACGTCATCATTTTCTAAAGTAGATGAATAAATAATTTTGAATTCATATTCTGCAATTCTTAAACAAATTCATATCAAAACATGAATAAATAATTATAAAATATAAAATAATACTGCGTTCGAGCTTAAAAATATTCCAAATTTATATTTGTACCCGTTTCATTTGTATCTCCTAAGATTTTGTGGTTAATATTGTTTTTATTACGAACCCTCAAGTACATGTTAATTAGGGTTGGAATATTCAAGCATATAAAAGGCAAACAAAAAGAAACTAAAATGTTATTTAAAATTTGAAAATTGTATGTGATACTAATAAAACGGACAAAGTATAACTTAATTTAAACTCAGGTTAACCAAAAATGTAGGTTTGTTGTTGTATTCTAACATGTTATTTCAAGCATAACAAAAATTAGTTGTAATATCTACAAAAAGACGAACTCGCGTTTTAAATTTATGTACCAGTCAACTGAATGTAATCCACATGATAAGGGAAATTGGTCTTAGTTTATTTAGACAGAACTTTCCTCGCCCCTTAAATACAATCGAAAATTTTAAACCACGTAGAAAATATTATACGAGTACAAACAATTTTTAAAATAATTGTGATAAAAATCATGGAGAATCGATAAACCAAAAAAATGTTGGTGGGAATAATTATACAAATTTAAATTTATCCAAAACTCCTAAAATACATATAAAATTTGACGACAATAGTTTCAAAGATTAATTCCATACCCTAGGGGTCAGAAAACATGAAAGTACCCAGTTGACGATGGACTGGATTAGAATATATAATATAATGACGATAAGGTCTTATCTTACAGACGAAAGACAATCTGTCAGAATAAACAATAAAACTGGCATAACTATTCAAGGGAAACAATAATAATAATCAAAGCAGGTGTGCCCCAGGGAAGTACTCTAGGGTCATTCTTACTTCATTATTATTTTCAATGATATAATAAGATTAATAAGTAATAAAAAATTGGTCGAAAGTTGTTTCGACAGCACTTTCCTCGCTCCTGAAATACAATGATATTTTTTTTTGTGTCACCCTGTATACGCAAATCCAAAATATGAATGGAATGATAAATTACAAGTACAGACTCATCATATTTTGTACATTTTAGATAGGATTTATTCGGCAAACTTTTGAGCTGACATCATCAATTTTTTGGAGAGGATAAGGAAATATATTTTGACTAAAAATTAGTTACCTTAATAAATTTTCTTATTGTGTTTTTAACTTCAGAAGTTAAGACAAGTGGTAAGCTTAAACTCTAGTGCTATACTACAACTCCAATATACCTTAATATGCCTGTATACTGAGATATGTATGCCATACTAATATGAGAAAAGTCAATACACATAACCAGAGTACTTATGCAACAGAAGAGAATCTG